GTACTAATGATTATAATGGCCAGTGAAGTGTTTTTTCTACTTTCAAGATTTAGTGATTGCTTTATTATGTACTTGCCTTTACATTAAAGGCTCTGAATGATTATAATGATCTAGTGATTGCTTTATTATATGCTTGCCTTTATATTAGTGAGTGATTTATTTTTTACTTGCCTTTACATTAAAGATTCTGAATGATTTAGTGGTTGCTTTATTATATGCTTTTTTGTTTTCTTCTAGTGATTTCATTATCAGTGCAGCCAACTAGATCTGGAAACCTCTTTGTGTCGGTCTTCCTTTCCAGCTCACACTTTTGAACTTCAGGGATTTCGTCCATTCATGTTTTTTTTACTTTCAGTTTGTGCTAATGATTATAATGGCCAGTGAAGTGTTTCTTCTACTTTCAAGATTTAGTGATTGCTTTATTATGTACATGCCTTTACATTAAAGGCTCTGAATGAAACAGGTTTGTGTAGAAATTGGTGCAATCTTCTTAAGTTAAATCATCTTGGTGAAAAGAGTTGAAGAAGGTGTTGATTGTTCTCATATTTTCAATATTGAGAACCCAATTTTTAAGTCCAGGATGCAGCGGCCTAAGATTCAAAATTCTGGTTGGGCTGCTTTTGGTCGCAAGCATCAAGGGAAAGAAGGCACGCTTCCTACAGGCACTGTGGATCCCTTCCCATCCATCTCAGACTCGAGTTCTTCCTTTGCTACAAAAAAATTGATGACTAACAATTTTCCACCATTGAAGTCCTTTTCTTCAGTAGTTCATCCCCCTCTGGATGTCCCACCACTTGGGACTAGCTGCATGATCAGGACAGTAAATAATAATCCGTGCAGGAAGCATGTTGATTGTCAGGCTACTACTGAAACTAATAGAGGTTCTGTCATAAAGTTGCTAAAAGATGTCCATACTTGGGCTGACCAACAGCTGATTGAAGGTGTTTTATCGGCTGTAGATTATGATGTAGACCAAGCATCTGTTCTTCTTAAAGCCATGGTTTCACCTGATACCAAAATCAAGGAAGCTAGTCTTGCTAATACAAGTTCTTCGATAACAATGGATTGGTGCGGAGAGAATAATAAAACTGTCCAGCAAGGCACTTCATTAGAAAATAAAATTTCAGGTAGCACACATAAAGCGTTAATATCAACCAAATTGTTATCTGTACCTGCTGAACCTGAGTGGGAAGAAGATGATGTCTACTTGAGTCACCGGAAAGATGCAATAAAGAAGATAAGGTATGCTGTTTTATACAGAATTTATTTGGGTCTTTTGGTTAACTTGTTTTTTTTTTTTTCGTTCTCACATGTTAATTTATAAGGAGGAACAAGTGGATACAAGAGCACAAATGCCATCAGAAGATTTTCAGATGATACTGATTACAGAAACTTCCCATTGATAAAATCCATTAGGGTTTTCCAAATCAACAATAAGAAGATGAGTTATGCAGCATTAAACATGAATCGAGGGGTTGTGGTTAGGAACTAAAATCACTGTTGACTTGCAACTTATGATTTTCTTTATTGGATAATTTGTTGTATAGGTGAATCAATTTGATCTCTGGACTCTTGTATGTTTCTATGAACAATCTTAATCACCATATGATGTAAGATCAGAGATAAAATTCGAATTCATTATTTTTCCTAATAGTTAATATCATCCAATTTGCATTTCCAAATACCTCTAAACATATTTCTTAGTCTTGGTGCTTTCATGCTTTATATGGTCCATGAAATCAAGGTTTAGGTATAAGCATGACTATGTAGATAAAGACAGACGACTGTATGTCTAGCATGCCAAACATGGCCAAGTTTAGCTTTAGATTTGATGCATAAATTAAATGGAAAGATCAGTATCTGTCGTAAAATTGTCAACTACAGGTATCAAATATGAGATAAAGATAGTCAGGAACAGGAGAATAGCATATGTTCTGATTGTTGTCAGATATGCTTATAACTATTCATTCTTCCTTCTTTTATATCAAGAGGTTGCAAATCATGAACTTTCGTATCATTCACTTCATTTACTTTTTCTAAGATATGCCATTTTGTTGTTGTTTCCTACCAGAAAGCATTAGTTGTTTTACACTGTGACCTGTTGAGTATCTTTGCTTAAAATAAGACCTAAAATGCCAATTTTCAAAAGAAAGAAAAACAATTAAAATGCCCAGCAGAAGTGTGGCCCCACAAGTTAGTACAAAGGAAAATTTATTACATGACTACCTGAATTATCCCTTCTAAACCTGTTAGCTTTATACTAGGCTCTGATTCTTTCCTATGTAGAGCTGCATTATACACTTCATGATTCAGTTTATAGAATGCAATAGTTTAGTTATAATATCAGAAGAACCTCAAATCTGTTTTAATGTGTTTGAAAGATTCTGTGGTGTCTCGGACAATAATTTGGGTAAAGAAATGATGACGAAGTTGTCCAGTCTGTTAGTGACTGCAAACCAATCACACATCAAAATCCATAGAGAATGGTACACTCAAGTTGAAGAACTAAAAGATAAAGCCTTGCCAGTGGAAACATTTAGAATTGTTCATTATAAGAAGCCTAAACAATAAGCTTGAATGCAAAAGGACAATGATTTAATTATAAGGTGGGAATTGGCAAAGAACCACCTATCGAGCCCAATGGCATTCATGAAATTCCATTAGTTTATTTGATGTGAACCTTTTTTATTGAAAGACTATTTGCTCCTTAAATGTTTCTTGATTATGTAATTTGTTTTATTTTTTGCCTTCTTACTGATTTGTGATGCTACTGGATATACATATCATGTTGTCTTAGGAAAATTGTCATCATAACAGTGGTGTTCTCATTAGCTCTGTGTATGCTTAAGAAATTCAAATATTTCTATTTAGGCTTTTTTTTTTTTTTGTGCAACAGGGCAGCATCTCGGCATTCACGGGCTGCTAGTAATGCCTTTTTCAGGGGTGACCATTTTTCTGCACATCAGCTTTCTGTAAAAGCTCAAGATGAGTGGATGGCAGCTGAAAAGTTGAACAATAAGGCAGCAGACGAAATTTTACATATTAGAAATAGCAATAATGACTTATGGAAGATAGACTTACATGGTCTGCATGCACCTGAAGCTGTTAGGGCACTGATGAACCATCTTCATATGATAGAGTCTGGGATCTTGATGAATCGTGTAGCTTCTTCTGATGGATTAGCAAAACCAGAAGCTGGTATGGTATCCTCTCCATCATCTGAATCAGTTAAAGACTTTCAAGCAGATTCTATGACCAGGAAGGCATTACCTCGGCAAAGGCAGACAGTATTGCATGTTATCACGGGTAAATAGGTTAACATGCACTAACTTATGCTTAATAGTAGCTGCTGTAAGCTAAATTGCATACTAGGATTATGTCATTGGTAGCATAACATCGACGGGTGCTTTTAGGAATCAGCATGAATCACTAATCCTCTTGTTTGGTCCCCGGTGCTGATGAACTCAGGTTAGGTATGGCCATAGCTGTCATTGTAAGTAGTTTTATACTTGCACGGGCACGTGCTATTCTTATCATCAATCTATCCACATTTTTCTAGGAGCTTGTAAATAATGAAACATGAGTTTTCAAGTTTTTGCAATTTAAAACATATGTTAGGTATATATGGATGGTTCAAGTCATCTTGCTGTGTGGTGGACCTTATACTTGATGTTTGGTATATACTAATGTGCTATCCGTTGCTAATCAATTTACATGAAGGAAGCATGACTTTAAAGAAATCATGCATAAACTGATTCTTGAGCATCAATTAAAAATGATTCTGTTGGATGTTCACAGAGACCATAGCTCTTGTGATTTAGATCTCATCAAACATTTCTACTAGTTCTAAAATTTTTCTATTTTCACTTACCTGTAGTCTTCTCAAGACATGATCTGGAAATGCTTGATCTAATGATTCATTTTCTTACAGGGATGGGCAACCATAGCAGAGGGCAAGCATCACTTCCTTCGGCAGTCAAAAGCTTTCTTATTGAAAAGGGGTAAAAATTATTAGAACCCATCTTAGCTTAGCTGTATGATCTTCTGAGAACTTTCTTGTTTCCGTTATCACCTTTGATCTCCATTAACATCCTGCAGATACCGTTTCGACGAGGTGAGACCTGGTGTAGTTGCTGTCCGTCTGAAATTTCGCCACAAGTGAGGGTGGGATCCTACAAATCATCTGTGGATACATGGCTTCTGAATCCTCATCTGCTACTTCTCAAATCAGTCTTCGAGTACTTGCCATCCTTCTTTCCTTCTCCAGTAGTCAACCATAGAAGCTTCAAGAGTGTCAATTTAGCCACCCAACTGATAGATGCGTGAATGCTTGATGATTCCTCTGTGGCACACTTCAGATTAGGTGTATATTGTGCCACACACACTGTCATCATCCTTTTGGAATTTACAATGATGCAAGTCATGCTTAATGTGTTGTGATTTGTCGCAATTCACCAGCACACGATGCAGTCTGGTTTCTTTAAGAAAGAAAAAGATTCAATATAAGAGGCTTCCATCAACATTGAATTTTTTATAAAAAGAAACAAAACGAAATTGAAAATTCATTTTATGATTCCCAACTTACCTGCATTTTGCTTCATTGGATATGATGTTTCTTCAACACAAAGTATCACGTTTTGACTTATTGAGGTGTCATTGACTTGTTTTGTATCAATGTATATAATCTTATCTTACTTTTCCCCCGAGATAAAGAGGATATTACGTAGGTGGGAGTGCTAATTTCTAACGGCAGGGAAGTCTTGTCCTATTAATAGACGTATCGAGCGAATGCAACATACACGGAAATGGACATTGATCCGACGTTACCCGACCCGTGGTCCGGTCCGATTAGACCGGGATTTGTTTGAACCCGTGCTGCCAAAGATCGGCGCGTGAATCCGACCCAGGATAGATCAAATTATGGGTTTTAGTTAACGATCTTAACCCTTCGATTTAAATCCAACGGTGGTAGAAGGTTCCCTGACCCGAAGAAAACTAGTTTGTGTTCCATGTACTCTCAAGTTCCGGCCCCCCTCTTACGTCTCCCTTTCCCTTCTTTGCGTCACCGACGGCCGGAGACCGACCTCTTCCGTGACTCCATCAGCCGACGGCGCTCGCCACCCTTCCGTCCCTTCGGGGATTGGAAGTCCGTCTTCACCGGCGGCGGGAGTGCCACAGACACCGCCTCCTACTCCCTGATCAAAGGCGCGCGGTCGAAGGCCGATTCGGCCCGCGATCGGGCACTTTCTTCTCCTCCCTCAATAACTGAATGCCTGCGTGCCGCCGCATCCACCTTCTTCTTGGTCGTATTGGGAGGAGAAAGTGAAGGGATTGATCTTGATCTTCCAATATTCAAGGTTCTTCCTCGCCCCTTTTTCCTTTCAGGATAGATATGGTGTGTGGCGCGCCCCGCCCTAAGGTTACAGTTCTTGGTGAAAAATGGGTAGAATTGAAGATACAATAATTGATTTCTCATTATAAGATGTGCATGAACTGCTATGTAACTGGTCGTTTCGAGATCTGTTTGTGTATCTGCTTGATTGGTGTTGGGATAGCTTCTAATCTTGAGACATGGGTTTGTTCTCGTTAATGTAATTGGGCGCAAGCTCTATCCTCCGGATCCCATATCGTTAGTTGCCCTAAAGCCTTTGCTGGGATTTTATGGCTTCTCCTCAAGCTTGACCTGTAAGTCGATGATAAACTACACTCAGCAGATATCCATGTAGCTGGGTCACATTGGATCAAGCAATCTCTGGGCGATAATTGGATCAGGCATGGATTTTAGTATTGGATTTACCAAGCATTGCATTCAATGTGGATCAAACCCAATCAGATCTAGGTTCTATCCTTTTGCAGGCCTAAGAATGGTGATTGAAGCCCATTGAAGTTAAATAAATAATTATATGTTTTTTAAGCATGCTAATTTTATGTATCACACACATAACAGAAAGATTGAATTTGTTAAAAGTTTTTGGGATTTTAAAAGCTTGATGAAGTCGCAATAAATACGATTGATTTATGTGATTGTATTTGTAGAATTGTTTTTATTTCAAAAAAGGAAGGATTTCACTGGTGTTGTGAATACTGATTTGTTTTTTTTTTAAACAATTAATGCTGCATAACTAATTCTGTTTATTTGGATGAGAGTTTTATTCTTCTTCATTATGTGAATTATAGAAGGAACTCCATATTTTTCTTATGTCTCGCTCAGTGATTTTGTTAAATGAATTCTAGTAGTAGTTGTTATGTTCTTTCGGTGTTTATGTTAGTAACTCTATGATCCACTGCATTGTTTCAGTGTGCTTAAATATCATTCTTCTTCTTTTGGAAAACACTGTAGGATATGTGGATGAATTCTATAAATTAATTTGCTGTATTCTTTAATGAAAGGTAAGAACACACTGTCAATAGCTTGAAATGATTTTGAACAGATGGCCGAAAAGAATGAGTTATGTATTAGCAAGGTAAAAAGTAGGAGTGTCTAGTTGTTCTACTTGTTTCCGATATTGTTTGATGAAAAATGACCTTATTACCACTCTGGTGAAAACCTTTTGTACCAATTGCTTGTAGAATGCTACAACTAGGTGACTTTAGTTGATTGACTGTTTGCTTTGGAATATGATTTTATTTTCAGGAGCTATGTTGTTAGTGTTAGTTTACAAGTTGCATGGGGTCCCTGTCGAGTGCCTCTTTTTGTATTTTATTTTTTAATTAGTTTTCTACATTTGAAAATGCTTTCTGATTTGAAGATTCAGTCATCCTAGGTTTCTTTGGTTTTTTTGGATGTTAAACAGTTTGCAAAAATTGATGCTTCTGCTTGGAAAGTGTGGTGTCTAAATTTCACTTTCGGTTGCTATATTGCTATCAGAAAAATACAGTTTGTGCTTAGATCATATTTGTATCTAGCTACAAAATTCATCTATAAATATTATTCAGTTCACATGCACTTAATCAACCTGTTGTTAGAGAGCATCTTTTTGCCATTTGTACACTTATTGGAGCTTGCCTTAACTTGATCTTCAAAGTCTGGAATTTATGGTACTATCAGCTGCTGAGCACGATTGAAGGTTCAGTTTTTTATGAGAGTTTGCTCTAAAACACATCTTCCAAATTATTTTTAGCTTAGTTTATAAACCAGGATATTGAAGATATTGTGCTTCCAAAACCATGCCAAAACGAGGTTTCTTGTTCTTCTGCTCGAGGAACAATGGATGGGATCTATAATGCTGAGACTGCATTCATGATGTTATACTTGTTAGTCATTAACTTATTTACTCATTGTTTTATTAATTATTATACATAAATAAATTGATCGGAAGCCATATAGCCTATACAATCTATACAACCTCATATAAACTCATGGCTGATTAGTTAGAGAATCATATAAACTCATGGCTGATATAGCATAGAGATCTACAAAGTTCAAAGGGGTTTGGACTTTGGATTGAGTGAGAATCATGGAGGGATGGTGATGATGTAAAGTGATTGCCTATAAACAACAAAAATCAATTCAGATAGCCAAAACATTCTCGGTCATTGGATGAAGAAATAAAGACCAATATGTTAGATCCGAGATAAAGTGAATCTTTATTATGGTAGTGAAGATCTTTTTCCCCCATTGTGGGAGCCAGCTTAAAGCTTTGCCAAAGCATCAAGTTTCTTGAGTGAAACCCAAACTAATTGTTGAAAAGTAAAGTGACACTGTTTATAATTTTACATGTTGATGAGACCATATCTAATTCCATATTGGTCAGAGAACCAGATAGCCAGGGTCAATCCTCTCCTTGAAGTGCCTTTTGGGGTTTACCCTAAAGATAAAATCATGCATGGCTTAGCCCAGAGTGGACAATACCCTGTGGGTCACTAAGTTTGAATTAGTGATGGCTTGGTGATGGACCTCATCATATGATGGTTTAGGCAAGTCTAAGTCCTGTGGCTTTCCAACCATGAGGCTATAATAATACCACTGGTTAGAGAGTTGGAGAGCGAAAGCCTCAAAAGAGCTAAGGTCACTCCTTGTGCCTTTTGGGATCCCATCAAAAAGACAAAGCCATGTGGGGCTCACCTTAGAGGAATAATACCTCATGGGTCACTAAAACCGGCCCACTGATGACCTAATGATGGACTTCAGTATATGCATCTTGCAATCAAATGCTTTAAGTTAAACTATTGAAGAGTACTTTTGGCAGTGGATACTGGTGGTTAGATGATTATTTCAAATTGAAAATGCGAGAAAAAACATATTATTCAAGAGGAAAGAATGACTTTCTTTCCTTATCTTTGAAATTCAATTAACTACATCGCTGAAGTGCATTACATGGCTACAGAAACAAAGTTTATGAAAATTTTTTTTGGCGTCATAGGCAATCATATATAAACATGAGTAACCAATTTTACAAGTTCCATTAGCTAACTTGTGTCACATAATTTTTGTTTCAAAGAAGCTGTACATCCTAATTATTTGGGATGCTTACATGGACTGGGGATCTATCACTAGTTGAACCAAGAGCTTTTAGATAGTATGTTAATCATTATATGCAAATCCTGTAGTTGGTAATCATTATATGCTAGCTTCATGATTGTGTGTGGATCACTTTCATGTTGTATTTGTAGCTTAATCCTACTCATCTTTTGATGTCATATTGGTATATTCTTCTACATAGGATTCCTAGTATCTTGAATCCGATATGACAATATAATCATCGTTCTTTTTTGTTTTTGTCAGCTCCTGAGATAATTGAACTGAAGAGGCTTGTAATGTAAACTCATAGAAATAGAACATAGTCCAATGTATTGAACGATGTTTTGCACTTTGCAATTGATTTGATGACCTTATATATTTGAATAATTTGTTTATCTTTAGGGATTTACATCTGTCATTTTCCTTTATATCATCAAGGCTTTTATTTGGTGTTTTATTTGTTGTCATATTCAGGGTATTCTTCCAATCAATTGTTCTGATGCAGAAATAATATCTGAAGAAGATAGAGCCATGTTAAATGTTTATGATGATCCATCAGAACAAAGGTCTTTGTCTCTGGACGACACTAGCAGCACAGGGGAATCCCAAGAGGACACAAGGCTTTCACTGGAAACTTCTAATGATGTCATTCCCTATATTGGTCAAAGGTTTGAAACCCATGATGCTGCATATGAGTTCTATAGTGAGTTTGCAAAGCGATGTGGCTTCTCTATTCGTCGTCATCGAACCGAGGGGAAAGATGGGATTGGAAAGGGACTAACAAGGCGGTATTTTGTCTGCCATCGTGCTGGCAATACTCCTGTAAAGGCAGCTACTGATACCAAGCAGCAGAGGAACCGTAAATCTTCTCGATGTGGATGTCAAGCATACATGCGCATCAGCAAAAGCATGGATATGGGTGTTTCTGAATGGCGAGTCACAGGTTTTGAAAGCCACCACAACCATGAATTGTTAGAACCAAATCAAGTGCGGTTTCTTCCTGCCTATCGAACTATCTCCGATGCTGATAAAATCCGCATCCAGATGTTTGCAAAGAGTGGCATTTCAGTGCAGCAAATGATGAGGCTCATGGAGCTGGAAAGGTGTGTCGAACCAGGCTATTTGCCTTTCACAGAAAAGGATGTAAGGAACCTTCTTCAGTCCTTTAGAAAGGTAAAGCAGGATGAGGAGAGTATTGATCTCCTCAGAATGTGCAAGAGTATTAAGGCGAAAGAGCCCAACTTTAAGTATGATTTCACAACAAATTCAAATAAAGGGCTTGAGAATATTGCTTGGTCATATGCCTCATCAGTCCAGTCATATGAGATTTTTGGTGATGCAGTTGTATTTGACACAACCCATCGTTTGACTGCCTTTGACACGCCACTTGGAATTTGGGTTGGCATGAACAATTACGGAATGCCATGCTTCTTTGGTTGTGTGCTTTTGCAAGAAGAGAATGTTCAGTCCTTCACATGGGCATTAAAGGTAAAGCCACTAAGAAGCCCCCATTTTCATTTCTCTATATATATGCTTATTGTTGTGGTTTATGCCAGGTGTTTTTGAACTTCATGAATGGAAAAGCTCCACGAACAATTTTAACTGACCAAAATATGTGTCTCAAAGAAGCAATAGCTATCGAAATGCCAAACACAAAACATGCCCTATGCATTTGGTTAATTGTGGTGAAGTTCCCGTCATGGTTCAATGCAGTTCTTGGGGAGCGGTACAGTGAGTGGAAGGTTGAGTTCTACAAGCTTTATAACTTGGAAAATATAGATGATTTTGAGCTTGGATGGAGGGATATGGTCACCTCCTTTGGACTCCATGCCAATAGACATATTGTAAACCTGTTTGCTCTTCGAACGCAGTGGGCATTGCCATACCTGAGGAGTCATTTTCTTGCAGGATTGACTCTAAAAGGTGTGTCAAAAGCAATAAATTCTTTCATTCAGCGGTTCTTGAGTGCACAGACGCGTCTTACTCATTTCATCGAACAAGTATGCCCTTTTTTATCCATTAAGTATAGTTTACACACGTGGAAATTTAATTTTGAATGTGATTAGTCTGCCAAACTTGTTGATTACATGTGGAAATTTAATTTTGAATGTAATTTAATCATTGTACGTGATTAAAAGTCTGCCAAATTATAGTTTACACTTGGAATTAGTCTGCCTATTTTTATCCATTAATTGAACTTGTAGTTTACACATGTGAAAATTTAATTTTGTATGGGATTAGTCTGCCAAACATGTAGGTTACGTGCGGGCATGATCAAACGAGGCAGATATAATATAATTTATCTACTTGAAGACTTGCATCACATTTAAATTTTCCATATTAATGAGGAATCACTGAGCCTTAAGTGAGTCAAATCGTTGTATGTGATTAAAAATCTTTTATTAGGGAAAAAAATGACATTTCTCTCTACACAGGTGGCTGTGGCTGTTGACTTCAGAGACCAAATGGGGGAGCAGCAGACCATGCAACAAAACTTACAGAACATCTGTTTCAAAACAGGTGCTCCTATGGAAGCTCATGCAGCCTCATTCCTCACTCCATATGCTTTTGGTAAGCTACAAGATGAGCTTGTCTTGGCGGCACACTATGCCTCCTTTCCGATGGGAGAAGGTCTTTTTCTTGTTAGACACCACACAAAGATGGATGGTGGACGGAAAGTGATATGGATGCCACAGGAAGAGTTGCTCTCGTGCAGTTGTCGTATGTTCGAATTTTCGGGGATCCTCTGTCGACATACTCTCAGAGTTCTCTCAACACTAAACTGCTTTCAGATTCCGGAACGCTATCTGCCCATCCGATGGCGCCGAATCAGCACAGTAGTGCCTTCAAACCTAGCTTATGGAGCTGCGTCATGTGAGCAAGCTGAACGGGTACAGGCACTGCAAGCTATGGCCTCATCTCTGGTATCAGAGGCTGCCAAGTCCAAGGAAAGGATGGATATTGCAACCAGGGAGATATCATTTCTCCTATCCCGCATAAAGGAACAACCACTTTCCTTGAATGCTTCAAGAAACTGTATTCATAGGAGTCGGTAGATTTACTTTGCTGGGGATAGCATTATTGACAGAAAAGAGATTATTGCTGATTGAGAGAAGAAATTGAGTTTTTTTGTTGTCATGGCTACATGGAGTCAATGGTATCGGATGAGCATAATTATGATCATTTGTGCACACCGTGTAATCAGCATTGCTGTCGAGTGGAAGAACACAAGGTCTGTTTTCTATCTTCGATCCTTTACATCTGGAAGATGAAATCCAATGTATTATTTATCTACAGCTATTTCTGCACACATGCAAAATCAAGATTGCTTGGCTTCTCTAACTTAAAACACTTTTCCCACGTTCCAGATGCTTAATTGGCACGTGCTTGATCCCACCCTATGCACAAGGCACGTGATGCGGTCTTATACACGAGAGAACTCGTTTTAAGAACAGATATTTCTATCAATAATTCTCTTTTTATTATTTATAATCTCATCTTAAATTTTTTTAATAATTTTAAAATACTCGTTAATGCTCTCATCTTTCTCTTCTTATTCTTCTTCTCGTATTTTTGGTTGGTCGAGCGATCACTATCATCGCTTGAGTCACAATAATGGTCACCTCTATCATGTGTAATGGTTGTCACGATAATAATCTGTGTGCTTGTTTCTATTTGTTGTTCATCGTTTTGAATGACTTTGACACTTTTCTCCATGGAGGACTCAACATTATTGGTAGGATCCACCTTCTTCCCACCTTCTTCTCGAACAACAAAGGAGTATGGAGCATAGTAACGAGTGACATCAATAGCGAACGGAGACGCATCGAGTGAATATCAATAGCACTGGCAACAAGCTATCATGGACAAATCCACACTAAGGGTATTTGATATAATGTTTATATATATTTCTATATTTCGATTATGTTCATACTTTATACAATATATACAGGACTTGTATTAGGCTTGACAGTCCCATTTTAGTTGGCTCTTGTAACCATTTTAATTCTTTAAACGTATATATGCATTCATCGTATAGAAATAAAACTGTCTAAAAATAGATCATCTAAGCAATCATTTGAGGGATTTTTTAGCTCCATACAGTGGTATAAACAGCATAGCACCATAGAGCTACCCGAATGACACATGACTGAATAGACCTTTAAGGTAGTGTTTAGGGTTGGTTCACTGCCTTGTTCCATAGCAGTATCATATGGGGACTTTTGGTTATGGTGGACCATATTGGATCCATTTTCATATAACTATTCAAAGCTTGTGCAGTATATATTTATAATTTACATTGCTTATCAAGTGTTTACTGAGACATCTACTTAAAAGGATCTCGAGTTAAACGTATTATCTAACTTATCTTCTCTTTTGCATGTCTTTAATGGAACCATAAGAGGTTTTGGGAAAGTGACCCTTTGCAGATAGACATGCAAGAGTGTCACATAGCTTAGGTAAAACTAACTAAGTCTACGACATATGATATTAGAGAGGGACAAGTGTTGGGAAATCTTGGGGGGGCGACATCATATGCGTAGCGGAAGAACAAAAAAACAAAATCCCCTATTCCCAAAGAGATGTTCGTCGTCGTGCGAAGATTGGTGCGTAAAATCCGCGAAACTTAAAACTGCATATAGAGTAGATTGTGTTACCTAGGGAGATCGTATATCCCTGTTTCCTTGTAGATCTTTTGGAGAGGGTGAAGGAGGTCAAGCGTCCTCCTCTTTAGCGATGATTCACACAGCAGGGTTACGACGATGCTCCTCAAAACTCCAGGCCTGCTCTGAGGTGGAGAGGGAGAGGAGAATAGGAAAGGCAAGCAAAGGCTCTAGCCTATAAGGCTTTGAATCCCTCGTATTTATAGAGGTCCCCTATCAAACCCTAATGGGTCCTCCCTAGTAGGTATTGGATCTGCATCTAATAAGACAAGGGCTCCATCGGATATCTCATATCCGAATCTATACTCATCGCAATGCCTACCATATATGTGTGACCCTCTAGGCTCAATATCGAGCTAGCCGTGAGTCATACTTGTCAGAACTCCTTCTAACTCAGTGAATTATTATCTCTGTAATAATTCACTTGACTCATCGACTACGGACGTACTAGGCCACTATGTCGTAGTCATCAGATGATACAGGGGAATCCAATCCATTGGATCTGTTCTCAGTTACCGTGTACCTATAGTCCCTCATCCATCTAATATCCCAGAGACCGTATATCGAGCATGGTGCTGTTAGACCCATACGGTTTCTACTCGAGTCTCGCTATAATCGGATTCTCCTGGAGAAATCTTTCTCTCTCAACCCGAATGACCTTGGCCAGGGATTTGTCTGAGCAAGAACACATGAGATATTCCTCTCATAACGCCGAGAGTGGATGATCCTCTATCGACACTCAATAGTCCTCGTAAGGTCGACTACCACTCCCAATGACCAGCTGTACTAGATCTGGGACAGCCAAACCTATAAGTCTGGTATCAAAGAGTGGAGCACTCATACAGGACATCCTTGGTATCTCAAGTCTAAGGACCAGATATACCACTAGGACTATGTAATTGCTGTCTGACAATAAGGCATCAACAACCATCCAGCATTCCGTAAGCGGATCAATCAGTGAACTCATTCTCCAATGAGCACCTGTACTGTATCTCTAGTGTCCCTACACGAGCAGCTATGAGACCAGCTGCATCCATCATATGGACGGGTATACAGCACACCAGTCTGTCCAGTTATCACGATGTCCCTCTCGAGTAACCTATGACCGGGATTATTTAGGATTTGTGTTTAAAGGTGAATCGATCTCATTATCGTGATCTCATCACGATCCGATTTCCATTACACAAATCCAAGGACATCACAATATATATATATATATATATATATATATATATATATATATATATATATATA